GCCCCGCTCGCCCGCCCGCGGCCTCCTCCGGGCCTGCGCCGCCGCCGAGCCGGGCGCTGGGCGGTGAACGCTGAGCGCTCCCCGCCTCCCCACAGGCCCGACCCAGCCTGGCGGGTCTTTTTGTGGTCTTCCAGTGCCCGGTTCAGTATGAGAAGCGATTCCCCCTCGGAGGGCGGGGGGCAGAGAGGATATGGGGAAGCTGGGGGGAGCGCCGAGAAAATGGTGGGGGCTGCGGCTGGTGAGGAGAGCGCGGGGCCGGGGGTCTCCTCTTCCCTAGACTGATGTTTAACTCCTTGCAGGGGCCTTGTGAAGGAGACGCAGCCGGGCTGTCCTGGGCCAGGGAGCAAGGAGCCCTGGGTTGGGTATTAGGGACACCTCCCTGAGGTGGGGGCGGTGGGTCGCTGAGCTGTGCTGGACTCTCCGTCCCTTGCTGCCCCGCAGTGTTGGCGTGTCTCAAATCACGAGCCAGACCTCATCGGGGGATCCGGCAACGCGGATTGAGCGCTTCGTCCACCCTGTGTCCATCCCCCGATTGCTGCCCCGCACCGGTCCGCGTTACTAGCGCTCGGGCTGAGGCAGTGGCTGGCCAAGTGGATCACGAGTCAGAGCCGGGCTCGTCATGCAGAACAAGACCCAAAATCAATATGTCTCACCCCATCTTTTCTAGTCCTCTGGGCTTCTGCTGGGTTATCACTGTGTTCTTCCTTGAAGGCCAAACGCCGTCGTTCTCTCGCTGTTTTGGGGCGGATTCGTCTCATTTTGGTCATTTATCGGTCTGCCTTCTTCCGCCGGTCGCCAGCGGATGTTTTCCTTTTCCGCAGACATGCTCTCACCCGTTCTCTCGTGCATACGAAGGTCCTCCTGCTACACAGCAATACCAGATGGAGTTTCTTCAGGCAATGCAAAACTCAAGAAAATACATCAAATTAAAAGCAATAGGCAAAAAATCTGTTTGTGTAAGAGATGGGTCCGGAGCGAGAGGGTTAGCAGTCGGTCTGAAGCGAGTGGGGATCTGCCGGGGCACTGCGAATGAGGGGAGGTCTGAAGCGAGGCAGGGTGGCACCGTAGAGAAGAACCAGCTGTAGAGAAGAACCGGCTCGGAGGAGCACGAGCTTGCACAGGCAACGGCCGACTCGGACACAGCATCCGATGAACAGGTTGTAGCCTAGGAAAGCTCATGCTTCTTCACCCTCAGTGGTCAACTCCCAAGGGAGTCGTGTGCCCGATCAAAATAAATGCCAGGAAATGCTTCCTTGTGTCTCGCGGCGCGTCATGCACGTGGTATGTTAGAGCCGTGGTTCACACTGATCTCTGCAGTACCGCACTTGGGAAAGCGCGGTGGACCCCTTGATAGTTGCTCTTCCACAGCACTGCTTTTCTTTTTAGAAACAGCAGCCCTTTGACTCTGCGCCTTCTGTCTCTAAGGTGCTGTTTTCTTGGATATCGGCAGCATGTTGCCTGATCTGGCTCTTGAAATACGAAAGTTCGTGGTAACCAAGTTAAGAAAAGGTTAGATTCTCTGCCTCTTGGGCTGTCCTTTCAGCTGGCAATAAGGCTTTTTTCACCCACACGCCTGCATTAAAGAAATCTGATTTTTAAGGATTTTTGTTGCTTAAAACCACTGCTGTTACACTCAGGATAGCGCCAGAAGAAAGGATGGTTATATTAATTTAGCTCTACTTTTCGTTGTCTGTTATTCGCTCCTGGTACGCAGGTATTTATTTGATCTGAAATGTAGCACAGCCAGAAGCCTAGTGCCCTGTTAAGTGGGGCCTTGGCTTAATGCAAGTTGAGTGGAAAGTGTCATCTGCTGAATTCTCTATGCCATTACATCTCTTGATGGCCTGTACTTCTCAGACCTCTTATCCAGGCACAGATCACGCACAGCCCTTTTTAGCTGTGAAGACTGAATGGATCACGACAGCTATTGGTATGGTTACGGATATAAATTATTCAGTATTTACTTACATTTGGATGCTACGAGTTTTAAAAACAAAAATGACTTCAGATTCCAACCTGAAGATTTCCCCCTGGATTTTGTTCTTCAAACTTGAGCGTTGTCCATCTGCCTGTCATTTGCATGCGTCTGAGGACAGGCAGGCATCTGTTGCCTCCAAAATGGTAGGAATGCCTTCCATTTAAGTGACGCAGAGCGCTGTATCATGTTGAGCAATAATAAAGCAAGGCACCTGTAATGCTTTGTAGGTATGTGACCAGTTGCAAGAAAACCGATGCACTGAATTGACATGTTGGTAAATCTCTTTCAGAAGCACTGCGATGCTGCTGGGAAAGCTCGTACAGCCAGCTCGCAGCCTGAAGAAACTGTCATCCCTGGGCATACGCAGACACTTCTGGGGATGGCTGAATGCAGTCTTTAACAAGTAAGAAAAAAAGAGGCAGACGTATTTAATAGCTCATGTGTCAACAGATCGGATGCATGTCCCTGTGCGTTGCATTGGAAAGCACTTACTGTGTAAGCACAGTAGCCAGTCACGAATCCCAGGAAGACAGGAGAGAGCTTTTTTCTTAATACAAGTGCTTCTCTTCCAAATTCTCCATTGTCAGATCCTATTTGTTTCTTTCATTTTCTAGTAACAAAATCATTAGTTTACAGAGAAAAGTATGTGCTTAATTCAGTATGCTGCATGATCGTTTTATTTCTCTTGGTTGAGACTAGCTGCCAATTTTAAATTCTTTCTTCCAAAAATATCCCTCTTCCTGTGACTTTGATTCCACTAGCTTTGAAAGTTTTAACTCTAGCCTCCTACATTTCCTGTGTGTATTCGGTAGCTGTAAAGTACTGTCTTTACTAGTGTAGTTTGGTTACACTAGAGATTTTAATAAAGATTAGTGCTTCATCTGTTTAACTCTTTCTTGACAAAAAATCAGTGTCAACTCCTCGTAGTTTTCACTGTGCCTGCTATTTTTTTCTGGAAAAGGATTATATGACGTTTGCTTGTGAGAGCAGAGAATAGGACCTAATGGCCCAGGAAAGAGGTCCCTGTCTGTCATGATGTTTCTGTCCAGCATTCACCAACCCCTCCGAAGCACCCTCACAGAACAGATCCAGCGATTTCAACCCATGTGTGTAACGCGTGTAATATCTGTTACAACTTATGATTGAATCAAAAAAGACTTGGAAGTAGTGGGGGAACCTTCCACTGTTGTAAATCTGGATCTGTTTTCTCTCCTCCTGGCAGACTTCTCTGCCTGTTTATACTTTTCCAACGCATGTACATTTTATTCTATTAGTTTTGGGTTAGTGATGCTGGGTTAGTGATGCTGGACAGTGCAAGCTTATCAAATGCGCTGGGTTGACAGAAAATTCAGAGCAGAGCCAGAATGGAAAGATTAGTTAGAAGGGGTCTATGAATGACAAATCACACAGCAATATTTCTCTTCATCGTACTGCCACAGTTAATCTTCATTTGAAGCAAATATGAATTAGCTCAGCTCACCAGGTTAAAAATAATGCAAACCACTTTTTTTCCTGTTCGTTGTACAAAAAAACAAAAACAAACAGTATTAGGATTGTTACCATGATAAGTTGTTAAATGTTGCTATAAAAAGATCTTGATGTTTCTTCTTTATCGACAGGGTGGACTATGAACGTATACAGGCTGTGGGCCCTGATAGAGCAGCTTCTGAATGGCTCCTGCGGTGTGGGGCGCTGGTGCGTTTCCAAGGCTATGAAAAATGGCAGCGTGACTACAATGGTCTACCAACAGGGCCATTAGGGAAATACAAGATACAAGCCATTGATGCCACTGAGTCCTGCATCATGTACAGAGGATTTGACTATTTGGGTAAATAAGTCATGGTTTGGCAAATTATGCATTGAGTTGTCACCTCAAAGAATGAACCACTTGTGGCTTTTTGTTTTGAAGATGCAGGGAAGGTTTGATGTATTTATTTTTTTAATCTATCCTTGTTTTACGTAAAAAAATTCTGTTTGTGCCTCTAAATTTGCTGGGGTTTCTATCCAGAACATAAATGGCTTGCGAGCTTTCTCTGATTTCACTTGAAGATGCAAGATCACTAAAAAGTGGGACCAAAGATCTGTCAGTTAACATCTGTCTATTCATGAACTCTTAACACAAAGCAGAGGTTTGAATGACTAAATCAGACTTCTTATGCTTGATATCTGAAGTCAGAATCCTGCCAGTTCTCTAGTCAGCCCTGGGCTAATGTAGGGGAAAACAAACTGGATTTTAATATAAAAAAGCAGAATTTTTTAAAAAGCAGTAACCTTCCAGCCTTTCTTTACACAACTGAAAACAAAATAGGGCACAAGCTCAGTGTTTTCCTTTTGCAAGTTGTTTCAGACATCATTGGCTAATTCCGTTTCTTTGGTTTTCCATCATGCCGCGCATGCTATTTATCTGCTGTTTGCCTGCTTGCATAGTCAAGCCCTTTGAACCTTCGCAGTGCTGTTGCATCTGTGAAGCCAACAAACAGCTGGTTGCAGGCAATGGTAGTTTAATTCATGGTGCATTGTGGATCCTCCACTTATAGACACTTATTGTCACATGTTTGCAGAAGCATTGAAGTTACCAAGCCTGCAAATGAAAACTGCAAGCTCACTGGCACTGTACACTTTGGGCCTTGCATTGTGAAACAAAAGCTGCCTTTTTGTCTTTTTCAGACGGTCTTGAACATGTTGAAGAAATTAAGCTGTGCAAATGTATGTATATCCAGGATGAGTGTCTGCAGAGACTGAGTCAAACTATGAATTTACAGAAAAGTCTCCTGAGGCTGGAGATCACTTCCTGTGGGAATGTCACAGACAAAGGCATCATAGCCCTCCAGAAGCTAAGGTACGCAAGCACCGAGGGAGTGTCTCACAGAGGCCTGCTTTCTCAGCTGGTGCCATATATGCACACTTAGAGTCGTGTTAGGTAATTGAAATGTACTATGCTTACATGCTTTCACTCATCAGTCTTTGACACAAGACAAAAGCAGTATGTTGTGTTGTTTTTAAAGCAGTGGTGTCAAATGTACAGCCTTATGATCCAGCCTGTGGGTCTCAGCATGTGATGCTGGTCAGTCTGGGGTGCGTGCTGCAGGCAACATCCGTGCTGCACCAAGCCTGAGCAGCGTGGACACTGGCCCAGCAGCTTGTGGGCCAGGTGAGTTTGACACCTACTGCTTTAAGGAAACAGTTCTCATAGTCTCAGTTAACACACACATACTAGGAGGCCCATCAACCCTAGCATCAATTTAGTATGTGGGCCTTAAAGGAAGTAAGACCTATAGGTCGCTTACTCTTCCAATACTGGTTCCATTCAAAGCTATCTTTGAAACCACTACTGCTAAGTAGTCTAACGCTGGGTCTGATTTGTGAGCACAATTAAGTATTTTGGGGGGGGTTTTTTAATCCATCACCTTTTGTCTTGCTTAGTGATTTTATTGGATTTATGGTCCTCAGTGGATGTTTTTTAAGTTGTGAAAGTCATTTCATTTACATCAGTAGAGGTTGTATTAAACCCAAGAAAGTATTATTAACTCCAAAATGTAAACCCCATTTCAAGTTTAGAGAAAGCAGCATTCTGCAGATCAGGAGCTTTATATAGG